GGAAGGCGGCGGGGAGCGAGCTGGCCGCTCGCCCGCCACGGCGCGTCGTGCCGGCAGGTCGGGGGACGGGCTGATTCGTACCTGGGTGGTCGCCAGCGACAGATTTCTCCTCAGGGTCCTTCGAAGGGCTCTCGGGAACTCTCTCCGCGGAGCCGGGCTCCCTTGTCCTGGTGTTTGGCTCTGGCTCCAGCTTGGACCTAAAGGACAGAAGCGCAAGCTCAGTGCCCACAGAAGGGGGCCGGGCACCGTGAGCCCTGGTGAGGCCCCGGCCTGGTGCCACCGCAGCCGAGGCCTGCAGGCCCGCACAGGCGGCGTCGCCGGCACCCAGACCCCAGCAGCGCCCAGTGCGCCCACACGGACTTCCCACTGGACGCCGCGGGCTCCCGCTGTCGGACCGGGCTTCGTGAGGCCAGACGCCCTCCGGCCCGAGGGCCGCTGCCCATCACGCTCACGCCCACCTCTGGGCCCGCCGTGGGGGCAGGGCCTGCTGACTTAAGTGACGGGCTGCTGCCGGCCGCCCTGCGGCCAGAGGGTGCTCACGAGCCAGACCGCGGGCACAGGAGCGAGGGGACGCACCCCGGCAGCGCCTTCCCTTTCCTTTAAGTTCTAATCATGCAAAGAGCCCGAGCCCTCCGGGAAATGACGAAGTAGGAAGTCGCGGGCAATCGCAGACGTCCTTCTTGGCAACTGGTCAGCGAGCCCGTAGCGCCTTCGCCGCCGACCGAGCACGTCCACTGGCACTGCACGCGGCTTCCGCCCGGCCACAGCAGTGTCCCCTGGGCGGCCGGCCTCTGCTGCGCGGAGACCCACGTCGCCGACGTGGGCACCAGCGGCCCCGCTCTGCCCTGGGCGCGTGGCCTGGTGCTCCGGGCCCCGCTGCGCGGGGCCGGCGGGGGGCATTTGGGGCCCTGTAGCCCACATGTGCCCGGCTGCTGCCTCTGTTTCCCTTTATTATAATTTTGTTGGCTTTATGAGTCCCCAGAAATGTAAAACCCACGCCGAGCCGAGGGCGGCGCAAAGACGGAGGAAGGGCCAGCCCTGGCCCCCAGACCGGGGCCCGTCTCCTCTCTGGGCAAAAGGACCCCGCTCGAGACAGGGCAAGAGCAAATGACGGGGAGAGGCCGGGCCAAGCCGGGGCCAGGGACGGCGGCCGGACGGCGACGCCGCTGCCAGCGCGGCGGGCAGAGCTGACTCTGCTACGAGAGGGAAAGCGG